AGAGAGAGAGAGAGAGAGAGAGAGAGAGAGAGAGAGAGAGAGAGAGAGAGAGAGAGAGAGAACAGGACTAACATTTTTTTTTTCCTGAAACCAGTTTTATGTCTATGGTGTAGAAATTTTCCACATGGATTTAAAAACTGATAGATTTTTGGACTAGTGTGATGGCACATACCTATAATCCCAGTACTCTGAAGGCTGAGAGAAAGGATAGAGTTCTAGGCCTGTCCGTGCTGTGTACTATGTGTCTATGTGTGCCTGTTGCCCATGGAAGCCAGAACAGGGTGGATCCCATGAGACTGGAGTTACAGACAGTTGTGAGCCACCATGTGGTACTAGGAATTGGACCCTGGTCATCTGCAAGAATAGCCAATGCTCTTAACCAGTGAGACATCTCCCCAGCCCCCAACAGACAGGCTCTTAATCTCTAGAGATTTTTTTTTTAAGAGAAACTACTATATTAGATTAACATCTCACATTCAGTAACCTTACAATTGTTCATTCTCATTGAATGGTAGATCCAGAGAATTAAAAGGTCATCTCATCTAGATTGTCCTTTCAAGTTGAAATTCTCTGTATCAGGCCGGGGAAATACCTCAGCAGCAGAGGACCTGGCTTTGGTTCCCAGCTTACAACTGCTATAATGTCAGTTCCAAGGGATCTGATGCCCTCTTCTGACTGGCCTCCTCGGACCTCCTGCACACACATGGTGCACATCCAAACACTCAGGCGCATACATACATACATACATACATACATACATAAGTCAGTCTTCTAAAAATTCTTTGTATTATCCTTTCTGTATATGAGCTTTGTACTTGCTGAGGACACGCTGCACCACCGAGCTGTCTCCTCTTTACGTCCATTTACTACTAATGGGCACTTTAGTGGCCTTGTCTGTCCTGCTGTTCCATTCTGTCCTACAAGATTGCCTTAATGAGTAAGAGCATGTATTTGTCACTAGAGCCTGTGGAGGGTAGAGTGGAAGGAGGAGATTGAGGAAAGGAGTGACATCAGGCTCACCCTTAGCACGTTAACACCTAAACAGCTGAAGTAACCTATGATGCACTTCAAAGCAATCAAAAGAGTGTGAAAATGCTTACTATTTTCAGATTTTTTTTAATGCCTATGGTTGTTGTGCATAATTTATTTCTGTGTACCACATGCATGTTTGGTGCCTACAGAGGCCAGAAGAGGGCATCTGATTGGATCTCCAGGAACTGGAGTTCTAGATGGTTGTGAGCTGCCATTCGAGTCCTGGGAATGGAAACCGGGTCCCCCTGCAAGAGCAGCCAGTGCTCTTAATCACCGAGCCATCTCTCGGGTCTTGATGCTTACTGTTTTGTGGGGAGCCTTATCTCCTTGCCTTGGCCGTTGCATACCCTCTGCCCGCACTGGACTGGCACAATACACAATCCATTCTCTAAAAATGCATAAGCGTTGCCTCTCAGTGAAACAAATCTCATCTGATTCAAGGTTAACACTACAAATGCCAAAGGAAGACACAGCCTACAAGATCTGACACCGTTTACAGACTATGAATTTCAGATTTCCTCCAAGCTACATCTCTCTAAAGGAAGCTGGAGCGACTGGAGTAAGTCACTGACAACACGAACACCCGAGGAAGGTAGGCATCCAGCCAAAAACAAGGTGGAGGAAGCAGAAAAAGGGCGTGGGAAGAGGCAAAGTCTCACTTGGAGTTGACTCTTCCGGGGGCATGAGCTACAGAAACTGCCCAGGAAGGTACATTTATGGTGCTAAGAAGTTGAGCATGTGGCCGGTCCTGCCCGTTCTCCATCAGTCAAACCATGGCTTTGTTAGTGTCCAGTTAAATGTGTTCTTATTTCTCTGTCTCAGTGCCTGTTATTCCCCAAAGCTGTAGCCAGTAATCGATCCCATTTCTTTGATGTATTTTATCTCTTTGGTTCTTTGAAAATTATAAACGATTATTTAGAAACTATAAGCCATACTAAAAGTTTGAAAGAATTTCTGAAGACAGTATCCCGAAATAAAAGTAATGTCCAACAATCCTCTTTCTTCAAATGCTGCATTGCACTTCTTCAAGCCTATGATGTTATCCTGCTTAAAGGAGCCCCATTGTGCCAGGACTAGGAGCAGCATAACCAGTTCAAGTCTTTAATTAATGGGCTTTTCCTTTTGATCATTATTGGGAAGTCAATTTCATTGAAACATGAGCAAACATTTTATTGAAACAGAAATTCTTATATAATCTTTCTGTCATATTAACAAATTGTTCTCATTTTTATTAGTTCCTTAAGAGTTTTGTGTAATATATTTTGATCATATTCACTCCCTCCCCCAACTCCTTCCAGACTTATAACTAACTCACACAATTATGTCTTCTTTTTCCTGTTTGTTTTTTTTTTTGTTGTTGTTGTTGTTTGTTTTAAAAACCCATGAAGCTCGATTCATGCTGCCCATATACTCTAGGATGTGTGGCCTTCACTGGAGGGCAGTCAACACACACCTTTAGAGAAACCTGACTCTCCCTCTCCCAGCAGTTATCAATTGGCAAGAACTCCTCAGCAGGAGGCGGGACTCCATGCTTGCCTCCCCTCTCCATGCTGGAACTCTGGCTTGTCTTGTGCTCATTGTCTCAACCACTGTGAATTCAAATGGGCACCTGCTCTGCTGTGTCTGGAAAACACTTCCTTCCCAATAGTAACAACGCTTGAATACACAAGAATTCTGTTTTGTTTTGTTTCTTTAAGCACTCAGTAGTGGCATAGTATAGAACTTTTCATACTCTTGTGGGGTATTCATTCACCAGAGAAGATTGCTTGGATACAGGTTTAAGCCAAGAGAAACTCTATTAGCCAGTCAGTGACTACACTGGGAGTTCAGGATCCCAGTGTAGCCCTGAGCCTTTCTCAGGGTGAGCTTTTAAGCACAAAAACCATATTCTGGGTTGACATAGCTAACATGAACAGTTAGCCAGAAGCAGAACTACAGAAGCTAAAAAGCAAGATCAAAACATTTTGATACTTTCCCAGAACTATATGGGCTTTGATGGATTAGGTCTTTGTTTTAGTTGTGGCCAGTGGTGCTGTCTACATGCAGAGTTTTACAGCCTGAATGGTACTTCCATCATGAAGTCAGTTGTGCTAAAGTTTGGGGGCCTAATCAGGTCTGAGGCACTGTTATGATACTTCATGTAAATTTAAATCAAAGAAAAAATTACAGGAATGTAACCAATTGCCTACTACTATCTAGAGGTTTGTGAGACAAATTCTTACTGGATGGCTTGGAACTCACTGTGTAGACCTGGGTGGCCTTGAACTCACAGAAATCTGCCTTCTCCTGCTTCCCAAGTGCTAGGATTAAAAATGTGCACTGCCGTGCCCAGCTGGAGTTTTTATAATACTGATGTGAACATCTAAGTGATTATTTACGAAGGTGGGAATATGTGTATATGGGAAGCAGCCTTGTGATTTAGCTGCACTCTGAGCTCCTAATAGTTGAGAGTTTTGTTGGTTTTGTTTGTTTGAAGACAGGGTCTCACTCTGTAGTTCTGTCTAGCCTGGAACTCAATATGTAGACCAGGCTGACCTCGAACTCAGAGACCTCCCCACTCCCTCTGCCTCCTGAGTGCTAGGATTAAAGGTATGTGCCACCACAACCCATTTCTTAATAGTCTTTTGGTAATTGATGACTTATCAGTGATGAGCTGGTGGCATCCAAGGCCCCAGAGAGGCCTGATACCTACTATGAGACTATTACACCCAATATAGAGTTTGGATAATAATCTTCATGTCTTTTGGTAATTGCATTTCTCCATGTAAGAAAATATTTAAAATGGATTTATCTAGTGAGTGATAATTAAATACCTTGTTTTCTGACTAAAGATTACATTAGTGACCCACATGCCCCTCTGTAGTCCAGAGATTTTTCTTTGCACTCTTTAATGTAGTTGGAGTAATGTTTGTTTGTTTGTTCATTCGTTTCAAGACACCGTTTCCCCATGTGGTCCTGGCTGTCCTGGAACTCACTCTGTAGACCAGGCTGGCCTCAAACTTAGAGATCCATCTGCCTCTGCCTCCTGAGTGCTGCGATTAAAGGCGTGAGCCACTCCCCTCAGTGTGAAGTAATATTTCTTAAATACTTCGTGGACTTGATTTTGTTTGGACAATGCAGATAAGATTTTTCAAATGGGTCATATTTGATATTCAAATCCAAAAGAATATATGGGTCTAGACATCTGTAATCTACATTATTACATCACAGGGGTCCGAGCTATAAACTACAGAAACTCAAGGCTTATGGATCCTTGTCATTTATACACAGATTAATGGCTTACTTAGATGTATTGAAAAGGATTTTCTTATTTATTTTTTTTTTTTTAGCACTTGCCTGATAAATTCAGACTTCTCCAAGGCAAGCTAGTGACTCTAATATGCTATAAATAAGCCACCAGTCACTGTGAGGCTTATGTGTTCAGAGCAGGGCAGACACTCAGAGAACTGAGGCGTGGTTTACCTCGGCCTGGAGGCTTCCTTTCCATGTCTGCATCTTGCTTCTCTGTGTTTGGTCTTTCTGTGGGTACTCGCTGCTCTTACTTTAAGCTCTGTGGTTGACACCCCTTACCACTCTTTTCTGTCATCAGTTTCTTTTTGAAACACCAACTGACGTAAACCTAAACGTGTGAAAATTTTTTTAACACTTCCTGCTTTTAACCCTTCTAAGTGTCTAGTCATACATAACTCGCTTTACTCCCTGAAACTGTGAATGATTTGTGAGAGGGTTCTTTTTCTGTAGGCTAAACTTCTAAAACCTGGGAGGAGCATGGTGTCCCCTGGTGGCCCAGGTGTGGCTATTTGTGTCGTTCCAACTGAGTGAAGACTCTCTTCACTGCACGTGGGCCCTTCCTTTGGTGTTAAATTTGACTCCTGTCCTGGTCTTCAGAGAAATGACAACTAAGGAAGGGGAGGAGGAAGGAAACCATGTCACTTTCTGAGAAACAGTTTCTAATTCAGCATCCATCAAAAGCAGTGTTGACTCTGGGGACTTGAAGCCGTATTTTCTTTCTAGTGAGAGAACACTCATAAATTTGAGCTCAAAAGTATGCAGACCTGTGCACACTCAAGACTCACAACACCTAGCAGAAGGCTCCACTAAGATGAATAGGCCTCCTTTTATGGATGTGACTCTCTGTTTACAGGTTTGAGTGCTACTCGCCTCAATGAATTTGGGGAATTAATTATGGAGGCATGGCATGCTTATCTTCAGATCAGAGTGGCAAAGAAGTGCCTCATGTCGTTCTGACAGCACAGATGAGTGAAAGATGCCCAAGAAAGAGAGATTCAGCAGCCCATTACAGCCACCCTTCCTCACATTGAGAAGCCAGGAAATTCATTCATTCATTCATATGTTATATTAAACTATTATCACCATTAGGGTAGATGTGAACAATTAAATACCAGAGTTATTCTGACATCTTAGAAAACAAGCCTTTCATCACAGTGAAGCTTGGGAGTTAGCAATCAGTTTATGTGCAGATCCAAGAAGTAAATGCTTGTAGCTTTGTAGACCATGTAGTCTCTGTAATTATTAAAAGTTGTTCTTGAAGTAGCTAAGCAGCCATTGGCATTGACCACAGATATGACTGGGTTCCAAAAAAACTCCATATATGAGTACCAACATTTGAATTTTACATAATTTCCATGTAAATTGATATTTCTGATGTTATAACCATTTAAAAATGCCAAGCAACTATTATTGTTTACAACTTTACAAAAATGAGAATCAGACTGGAATTGGCTCACAAGCCGTAGTTGTCAACCCCTAGAATAAGCTCAGAGATTATCATGCTTCTATCTCTTTGCCTAAGGCTGGAGAAAATGAGAATGAAGGTCTTCGTATACTACTAAAAGGATTCGCATACAAACATTTCATTGGGGGAAGTCATTTTTGATCTAGTCAGAGTCCAGACCTTTGCCTCTTCTTCAGTCTTCCCTAAGGTTGTCTCTGTCTCTAAGGAAATAAATGCCTGTGCTCAGTTATTTGACACACGATGGCCACCCCAGTACTGGAAAGTGCTTTCTGTTGTAATAGAAAGCATGGCCTACAAGGAATGTGTTTGCATCAGGAGCTACAGCTTGTGCTGGGACATAATGACAACCAGTTGGAACTTCAGACTCCAGCAATTGCAATTTATCTTGAAAGGATATAGCAAAATTCCTGGTGGAGGCAACACCAAGGTTAAGCATAACCCCAAAGAGGAATCTGGGAGCCTTTTTACATTTCTTCACTGCTAAAAACTAAAGTTTGTGTTCCCATAAAATTCATATAATGACGCTCTGATCCCTGATAGGATAGAATTAGGAGGTGAGACTTTTGCCAGTAACTGGATTATGAGTATGAAGTCATCAAAAGGAGAGGAAAACAGCTCTGTCTCCTACTCGCCCACTTCCTACGTGAGGATTCAGGAAGAAGGCAGCCACACCAAGCAGGCTCTCACTAGGCTCAGATCTAACAGCACCTTGATTTTCACTTCCCAGCCTCTAGAGCCATAAAAACAGATGTGTGTTGTTCAAGCCATCCATTCTATAGATTTGGTTAACAGCAGTCTGACGTAAGGTACTTTGTCTGGGATTTAGAATCTTCAAGGTCTTGCAGTGAGGAAAGGAGTGATTGCCCTCTTGAAATGTGTAATGTGCTTGAGTTCTTAGAAATCTCATGGTCTTGGTTTTTTGTTGGTCTCTTGCGCTATCTTTCTCTTCCCCGTTCTCATCCGTGATCTCATCACAAGTAGGATAACATTAGCACTTCCAGATTCAACACTTGTCTTAAATTCTGTCACATTACCAATATGTTCTTTTCCTGTTATGTCCTCCCACTGGTTGCACTGTCCCGGGCTGTGTATTTCTCATCCATGTGTCTCTAAACAACACCTAGCATACCTTGTTTGAGCTTTCTGAAAGTTGCACTCTCTCTATAACCTACAACCCACTTTTCCCATCATTACTCTAATCCCTTCATTGTTGAGTGGATGAAGCAGCAGGAGAGAACTCGAAATCTTGGTTCCCTCACCACTTTCTCACACATAATCATGTCTCCAGAAAAATCCTTGCATCGGAAAAATAGAATAGAAACAACTTCTTGACTTGGGATGCTAAGAAGTGCGTCGAAATAAGAGTGGAGAAGTATCCATTAGACCTGGTGACTGGGACAGCCTGTAGCTGTGTGATCAGTGTGCATGGAGGAAGGGATATCACATAACATGGACAGAGAGCGCATGTGGAGTGCGGGAATGAAGGCAGCCACAATTCTCAACTCTTTCCAAAAGGTTCTGTGAAAGACAGAGATGGGGGCAGTAGTGGAAAAGTATATGCTATTAAGAAATTCCTTAGCCGGGCGGTGGTGGCGCACGCCTTTAATCCCAGCACT